GAAGCAAATGTAGCCACAGAAATGCCTGGCCAACATTTAGTTCACTGCCCACTAAGTGGAAAGTCTGGGCTCAGACTTCAGACATCCAGTAGCATCTTTTCTCTTAAGAATACTAAAGAAGCATAAACAGTGTGTCCAACAGTGATCTTTAGCTTAAAAAAACAGGAGGGCAGGGGAGAAGAAATATAAGCATTCATTGCATGGACTTTTGTACACTCTCCAAACATACACCCCCTCCCCAGTCCACGACTTACCAGGTTCCTGCAAAGCTGAACTCTGAAAATGTTCTTCAGCACTTAACTCCACCTGGTTTCTTCCCTCAGGTACTTCCTCTGCACTCCTTTCTTTAAATATCAGAGTGCTCTCTGCCCAAACAGAGGATTTCTCTGGGATTTTGTTGCCCTCAGTACCTAAGCTCTTGGAGCCTGGTAGATCTGTAAGCCTGGAGTCATGAGGCAAAGCTGCAGAACAGGTCACAACGGAGGATTCGAGACTGTCTGAAATGCTCATAAGATTATTTGTAAGTGAGATCTCAGCTATCTGCTCCTCAAGGAAGGTGTCCGGCTCAGACCGGAGATCTGTAAAGCAGGAGAGCTTCCCCATCAGGACAATTTGCCCGGACACAAGTTCTGCCGAACTTCCAGGAAGCAGCCCGGCCCCATCACTCTGTCTGGCCAGGGAATCAGTCTCTGAAGGACTACAAGTGTTCTCCTTCCTCAGAGGCTTTGGTTTGGGATAGGCTTCTTTTCTAAAGGCATTCATGTTGTTGTGAACTTCAGCCTGCCCCTTTTCCTGAAGGTCCCCCGTCCACTTTTTATTGCTCTGAGCAGTTACCATCCTCTGAACTCTGGGGATTTTGCTAGCTTTGCTCCCAGGAACACACCTGGAAGGTACAATTTCATCCCCATCAAAATCAGTCTTGATGCAGCCCAAGTTTCCTGTAAGATCCAAAGGACGGACAACATAGGTTTTTCTGCTACGTTTAGGATTATCTGGTAAATCCTTTGCGCTCTCCTTAGCAACTCCTTCAGCACCAATACATGGCCCAGAAACCTCAACTTCATTTCTCTGATCATTACAACTGCTTTCCCTGACAGTCTTCCTCCTGCTTGACTGGCTTCTTTTAGGCTGTTCTTCAGCTTTAGCCTCCGATATTTTCACACTGTTTGGCACATTCTCCTCATCAGAGTGATTTCTTTGCATAATTACTCTAGTTTTCCTGCTGGTTTTCCTCCTGATGCTCTTTGTGCTCACACTTGATGAGTCCTGCTGCAAAGCACATACACCTGAGGTCTCTTTCCTCAAGGAAAGTGAATATTGTAGACCAGAATCATCTGAGGGAGCTTTATGACTTGAGAAGGCATGAACTGGGCTTTTCAACAAGCTCTCCACACTTTGGATCTCAAAGACAGCTTCCTTCTTAACTTGTTGCAGTAAGTCACCACTTTCAAGATTTTGCAGCTGTGCTGGATTCACCACATACGTTCTCCTGAGATCTCGGACTTCATCAGGCAAGCGGGAACGTAGGTTCGCACCACAGCCTCTGTTCATCCCTTCCAAAGCTGCCACACAAGCTTCCTGATTCATCTCAGGAACTTCAGGCCCACTAGAATTTGCCGCAACGCTTGGCTGAAGAAGTTTCTTCACATTTTGGGCATTCTCTTCACCCTGAGGGGCATCAGAGCCACCTTTTGCATCGCTTTTAATTGAATTCCTTTTCTTTTTTCTTGTGCTAGCCTTTTTAACAGATGTTTTTTCACTGGTTTTGCAATTACCTTTGCCTTTCACCTTTACAGGAACAAGCTCAGGGACTTGGCTACAGTTGGGATCAATTCCAGCATCACACACAGTTTCTTCAGCCTGTGGCTGATCACAGAGAACCTCTTTACCTGAAGATTTTATATCAGAATCAGCAGCAGTTTGAGCAGGCGAAGCAAGGGAGCTGGGAGATTTCAGCTGTAGCTGTGTGTTACTTTTGTTGGAGCTGCTACTGTCCTTCGTGATACTCCACTGGGACACTCGAGTTGAACTGATGTTTGAGAAGAAATCCACACCAGAAGATGGAGTGCTTGTTGCAAACAGGGTGGAACGCTTCCTCCGCTGAGTAACACACCCTTGTGAGAGACGGTCACAGAAACGTTTCACCATCTCATCCTCCTCATATGGAAGAGGATGACTTTCCCAGGTAAGTGCTGGCAAACCGTTGGGATTTTGTTGGGTGGCACACAAGGACTCTGTGGGAAAGACAAAACGCATTCCTAAGAATAAGAAACGCAGAGGCAAAACGTCAGCTTTCTCAATTCCACTAAAACCCACACCCTGCATGCTGCCATGAATCTCGAGGCTAGAAAAAGTACAACACTGTCACTACAGGGACTCCTCAACGTCATCGTGTTGCAGAATTGCTCAGCTGGCCTTTGAAACAGAAAAGGAGCCCAAAGCAACATTCCAGGCCTCCAGCAGCCCTAATATTTGAGAATACTCAAGATTTACATGAGAGCTTTATTATTGGTATGGCAAACCAAACCAGAAGTCAACCAACCACAAACCTGAAAGCCTGTATATACACACCAAAAAGGAGGACAGCAGGCCTTACCCAAAGAGTTTTTACTCGTAAGACTTGCAACTCAGCCGCTAAAAAAGCTTAATCACCATTCCATCTTCAGAGTACACGGAGGCATTCTCTAACAACTCCCAAACCTCAGCAAACCTATGCTTCTCCACTAACACCTTAAGGGAAGATGAAGTGCCATATCATCTCATCACATGTTCCTACTGAAGGCATGAAAAAAGCCCTCCTGGAGCCAAGTAGTCCAACTAAACTATTAAGTGGCAAGATACAATGGCTTGACTTAATTGTCTTTTGGCCTTCTTCCCTCCTGCAGGGTAAGGATTCATTAACAGCAGAGAATCAGAAAAGTGTTGGCATGCATACCTTACCCTGCAAGGAAGAGGAGAGGCTATTACGGCAGCACAAAGCTAATCTGTTCTGTCCCAAAAACACTGCCCTCCCTCATGGTGACTTGCTCTCTGCTATCATCTATTAACTGCATTTAAACTCAACAGGGGAAAGAACACAGCCACCAGAGACACAGTTCTCCTTCAGGGTACTATATAACACTCCCAAGGTTTTGCATGGGGATTGCTGAGCAGGATCAGAATAGCTCAACAGATACAGAAGAATATACATTTGTTCATGCCCACAAGAAACAGGAGCTGTGCATTCAGGCAGATCCTCGGGGACAGCACACTCAGGCATTTCTGGAAAGCATATGTAAGTTCAGTGCCTACTACCCAGGGAACCTGATGAGTTATCTTGAGAACCCGCCAATATGCCAAAAACACCTGTTCTTCCAGAACACCCTTATGTGTCTGGGTTCATTTCTGAACCCAGACACGCAAAGGTATTCCAGAAGAACAGCAGAAGATACAGACTTACCCCCAAAGACATGACAATCAACAAAAGCCTCTTCCGTTTCTGCTGCTTCACACGGCTTCTTCACACTTTCTTCCTGGGAGGACTGAGGCTTCTCAGCTAGCTGTGGTGTCTCCAAAGATACTTTGGAGACAATAGGCACAATTTCACGGGGCTTATCAGGAACTGGTCTCTGGAGATCTACTGGGGATGTCTGTACTGCTGTGGAGCTGCTATCTTGCTTTCCCCCATCACATAGCTTGGAAACAGGTGCTTTCAGCAGCATCACTGCAGGCCTGGTAACAGAGAACAACAGCAACGGAGCATGTTCCATAACTGTGACAGGTCCCTAAATCCAGCAGGACAGCACCAGCTTTCACCCCCATCCAAAGCTGCTGAAATGCATTTCTGAAGGCTTCAGGCACTGAAGTGAAGAACACACACTGCCCGGCCAGGACCGATCTCCCATTTTTGGGGAAGTACAAATCATAAGGAAAGCGCACCCCTGCAGACACAGAAGTGGCAGAAAAATATATTGAAGCAACAAGGAAGGTCTTTTAGCACACAGGTTGCAACTGCAGTTCTCTGTGAAACATCAACAGTGCTGCTTGGAGGTATGACTGTGGGCAGCTCCCTCTGAGGACCAAAACGGTTTCCTTGTGTTCAAAGCAGAGACTAGACAGAGAAGAAACAGAACTTCAATGTATCCTAAGAGATTCTACTCTGACCTTCTTCCCAAAACAAACTTGCATCACACAAGCAGATGACTATCAAGCATTTATCTGCAACAAACACTGAAGCAGCCAACTATGGCACCTAAACTCTTCAAAATTCTCTGGTGTACAGAGTATGAAGAGGCACTGACTGGGCCACTTATTCTAGTAATATCAGCGGGAAACAGAGACATCACCTTCTTCTGCAAGCCGAGCTACTCCTGCATCCTTAGATAACCATAGCAAGGATGCACATGGTAAAGACACAGGCTGTTTTATGAAGAGAAAGCCCATGTAAAGAAAGGTGCAACTTCTAAGCCCACAGATACAGATAGTTTTACTGATCACATGCACACACACACGCTTAGAGTCCTCTGCTAGGAAAGGATCACAGGACCTTCTGCCATTAGCAGACCTGGGATGCTCTTTACAGTAGCACATATCAGCACAGCAATAAGTTTAAAGGACAGGCCTCCAAAAGATCTACCACTTAAGTAAGGCAACACAGAACAGAGGGAGGAAACCTCGTAGCGCTCACTAGCTGCAAAGAAAGAACTACCTATAAGGGATAATGTTTTTCAAACAAAGGAGGGAGAAGGGAGAGTTTTTGCATAGACTCGGCAACAGGGCAACTAAGACAAAGAAAGGCACCAGAAATACACAGGGTAAAGGAAACTGTGGAGCAGTAGGGTTTTAGAAGACATCTCATGGGATACATACATGTAAAATACAAGAGGAAGTTTAGCATGTAGAAAACCAGGATGAGCTTGGTGACATCTGACATCATCAGGCCTACCTCACAAGCCGACTGTCTGTGGTGTCATCAGCCCAGCTATCTTCTGTTACGCTGCTCTTCTGGCCATTGGACAAGGACGCAGAACTCGTACAGAACTGGGGAGCAGAGCAATAGAAGGGTAGCTTAAAGTTCTTGCAAACCCCTGGGCACCCTCCCACCCAGCACACAGACAGATGAAGCTCAATTTCAGTTTTAGTAGAGACATCAGACCCCAAATCCCTGGAAAATATATCCAGTACTGCCAGTGACCTCTTCCCATTTCAGACAGCACAAAGGTCCCACCATCCCACTCAAAAAGGTTCAACAGAACTGCATCAGCAATGTCCCTTGGTGAAGGAAGCTTATCAGCCTCCCCAGAGGTCATCAGCCATATTGGTCAAAAGCTACACCTACAACAAACTTCTGAGGGCTTTGCTACCTTAGGGAAGTCACTTACAGCACAAATTATGCAACCGGCTGCAGCAGAGTAAGATTACATCTCCATGGGCTTAAGGATAAAGTTAAATTAGTTTAGATAATCTGAGACCGGAAAGATTTCCCCCCACCTTCCCCTGCCAGAGATAAGCCATGTAAAAAGCGCCCTGTCCCTAACCAGAGCCAACAAGGCAATAAAAAAAAAAAAATATGAATTTCTAAAGACACAATCTGACCTTGCAGAAGAGCCTCCTGGTCAATAGAGCCAGTGACCCAGAGGAAGGCAGTTTATAACTGGAGCCTTTCCTGTAGGAGAAGCTACCCGAGACCCAGCTCTGGAAATCACCATTAACATCAAGCTAAAGATGCATCCAGGGCACTTCAAGTAAGCAAAGAAACAAAGTAGAAGCATCAAATACTTAAGTGAGCAGGTAATATAAAGCAAGAGCCAGAACCAGACACAGCCTCCTTCCCACTGCAACCAGCAGTGTGCTCACAAACTCTATAGCTTACCTCAGAGAGCCGGGCCATCTTAATCGCAGCCATAAGTTTTTCCATTTCTTTCAAGGTGTTATTCTACGTTGAGGTAACAAAGAGAGAAAAACCATAAAGATGTTAAATCAAAATGTCTCTTCCAACAAAGATGCTGGTAGCCAGAGCAAGACAGAGCCCTTCTGGAGAGAAGGGATCAAGTTCTACTAGATCGTGGCTTGCGAGAAAGAGCAAGCCCGTGCATGGTGGCATGTTTTGGAGGCAGACGGTACAGACAATCAGCAGCAGGTCACCCACTTCTCCCAAGGCCGTAGCGCAGGCGCTGCCTGCCCTCCCCATGTTAGTCGCACCGTTCACACCCATGCCGTACCAAGAAGCAGAGCTTGTGGCGCAGGGCAGCATTATGGAAGTGGCACTGCTCCACCTCCTTCTGTAGGACCGTCTTCTCCTGGGTGAGCCGCTGCGCGTTGGCCTTCTCCGCGTTGAGGGCCAGTGCCAGCGCTTTATTGTTGCGCTTCAGGGAGACTTTAATAGTGGAGGAGTTGTCTGTAAGCGAGAGAGAAGGCCCCCACAGCATCAGCATGCGTGGTCTCGGTCTCGCTCACGCTCATCTCTCCTCACCGCGCTTCTTCCTCTTCCCAGGAGAGCCCCCCTGAGGCTCTCATCTCCACATCCCAGTGGCCCCCATGCAAAGTCAGCAGCACAGCGCTACTCCTTCCCGAGGTGAGGTAGCTGCGGGACGGCTTCCTCTAACAACCTGCCACACTCGGGCCGCAGAGGGCCCCTCCTCCCTGCCGCCAGCCAGCTGCTGCTGCGACCCCCAGCAACAACGGCTCCTTCGGCAGCGGCGCTGGCAGCGAGCAGCTTTGGACTTGGAGCCAGCAGCATTCTCCACCCAGAAAGAGGTCGGAAGAACCCCTTTCCTCGGCGGCAGCAGCCCTCGAGCAGATTTACATCCAAGTTTCTTGTTGTTTGGTTGGTTTTTTTTTGGGGGGGGGGAGTGAGAAACA